AGCAGGAAGGTCTTAGAGGACCTCAAATATTGTCTCCTCTGGGCTCACATAGAGTAATGGTAAGATTCCAGTAAGGCCAGGCTCTGTTCCTCCACACAAGGTGCAGAAGCTATTTAACTGTACCTTAGTATGGGAGGAAAGCGCTAGAAACACCCACACTTCACATCCTCAAGGGGATGACATCCTCTCCTCTTATTAGAAATTTTTTTTTTTTTTTAAAGGACCTGGTTAATACTGTGCACTATAGCCTCTAATAGCTTGCGGTTTGCTGAGAAGTGAGAATCCCTACTTGCTATAAGGACACTTGCTGCCAGCCAATCTGGAGAAAAGTGTTTTGTTTTTTTAATTTTTTGAAATTTATTTTTGTCAGTCGTGTGGCTTGAACTCTGGGGCTTGGGCGCTACTCTGCACTCTTCAGCTCAAGGCGAGTGATCTATCACTTGAGCCACAGCACCACTTCCGGTTTTCTGGTGGTTTATTGGAGATGAGACTCACGGAATTTGCTGCCCGGGCTGGCTTTGAGCCACGATCCTCAGATCTCAGCCTCCTGAGTAGCTAGGATTACAGGTGTGAGCCAATAACGCCTGGCTTGGAGAAAAGTTTTAAACTAGAGACTAGTGATGTGTGAGGAATGAACCAAGGTCAGCCAGGGGAACACTTCTCTCTGGAAGAGAATGGGGAACTCAGTCTTTTACTTCTAATACTGTTGGTCAGTGGCTTCCAGAACATTCGAAGTGGGGAAAACATATAAGTAGGTAAAACAATCATAATTGCAGGATATGAATCAAAGGTACCTATGGATTGTATATAAACCATAATTCATCTATCATTTACCCCTAAAATTCTCCCACCAAACTACTGTTCCCATTCCCATATGACTAAAGCACAAGCCACAGGAAAGTTTAGAAACCATTCCTTTCTTTATTAAACATAGCTTGCAAGTGATAAATATTACAAAGTTTTTTTTTCTTTTAATCCTTTCTCCAAAAATTAGCTTATTATTTGAATCTGTCACTGCCGAAATGCTCAGCAGCATCTGAAACAGATGGGAGTATATTTGCCTTTTTGAAAACCAGTTTCTCTTGGTCTTAAGTTTTTTCACTTTATTTCCCGAACACAATGCAGAAAATTAGAATGAGTTAAAAAAGAAAAAAAGGAAACTTAAAAAGAGAGTTGTGCAAAAGGGTCTTGTTCCCCTCCCACCCACCCTGTTCAGGGAAGGCCATTCCCCATCCCCCCTCCCTGCACCCCACCCACCCCAATCTATCCTTCCACCTTTACCAAGGCCTCACCCATCATCCGTCCTCTCCAGACTTTACCAGCCAAGAACCTAGAGAGTGGGAATAGCCCAGGCTGTGGGGAAATTAACTGGGCCCCTAAAGAAGATAGACTGTGAAACAGCTGCCTGAAGGGGTACAGACCAGATCTGAGGGAAGGAAAGATGTGGGCTACATCTGGACTCTTCTCTTTTGTCACTACGGTGATAAGGGAAGTTCCAAGTCCTATAGTTCACCAAAGCAGCAAATAACTAGACCACCAACCTGGGGTGTTCAATCACCCTTGCAGGCTGGTTGTTAGGTGGGGCTGGGGGCCTGGTCCTTACCCTCAGATAGCAGAGATGTCACTGAGCTGACATCCTAGACACATCATTGTTGCCTCTCCCAGACTGAGGTTAAAGTAGGGGATGGGCAGCTCTCCAAAGGCACCATCACAGAAGAAACCACTTGAATGCTTTTATTTCCTCCTTGTTTTCAACCAAACACTTCCCTTGCCTTTTTTTTTTTTTTGGTAGGTAGGAAGTTTAGAACTTTAAATTGGTGGCCAAATGATTTCCCCCCACTTCACTGATTTAAAACAAAACAAAACCAATAACAAAACCAACAAAACTGAGACCCAGAAAATGAAAAAAGATCACACAGCAAGTCGGTAGGAGAACCCAGTCTCCAGACTGCCTCCCTTTGTGTGGTGGCTCTCCTTACCCTCCACAACACACAACATCCTCCCTGGTCTTCACAGAAGCCCAGCCTCGCCTAAATGCACACAACCTTGCACTGGGCAGGTGGATGTGATTCTCTTCAGGTGAAACCTCCTTAGGATCCCATCTACTGTCCCCTCATCATCCACCCTCAAGGGCCCATGAGATCGGGTTCATTTCTTTAGGGGGTTGGGTAAATCCCTTGCATAAGAAAGGTTGACACTTAATTTTGTTATACAGGTATATTGTATATATGCTGATGCAATCAGAGGAAAAAAAAACAGTGCAAATACAATTACAATTCATAATAATACTTGGTTTCAATGCCCCCGGGAACTGCCCATTCCTCAGCTACCTCCCAACCCCCAGCACTTCCCCACAGAATCAACCAAATGCTGGGGGGAAAGGAGAGTGGGCAGGTTAGGGTAGGGAGTGGGCTCTGCCAAGGCAGTGCTGGTGACCCGGAGGGACTACTCCAGGGTGGGGAGGCAAGGCACAAATTAGGGGTGGGTGGTGGGGGAGGTGGCATCTCTAAGGAGGACTGGGTTGGAGCAGTGCCAGTCTCAGTTTTCTGGGCCTGGCTAACTCCCCTACCCACCCTCCACAGCCCTGCCTCCCTACCCCCTCCCCTTCCCCAGAAACCCTTTTGCACGGATCATACACAAACGGGCACATTACAAAATGACATAACACAGTTTCACAATATCCATGGCTAGGGCTTTTTTTTTTTCTCTTTTTCGTTTTTTTTTTTTTTTTCTACACAATGTACAATTCCTTTTAAATGGATCAAGAAATAGCTTATATACACGAATGAGTCCTTGTTATAACATCTCGGCAGCAAATATCATAAGCTAATGAAGATCTTGATGGAAGGGAAGGGAGCCTAGGACCAGGTGGGGGAAGAGGGTATGGAAAGAAGGTTATGCCTTCTGGAGGAATGGGGAGAAAAGGGAATGGTTGAGGAAAAGGAACAAAAGTAAAATATCAAGAAGCATCTTTACAAAGCAGTTCTATAGCTAATTCCTTTTAAAGGGGAAAGGAAAGGGTAACCAAAGCAGAAAACATTTATCTGTCTTTAAGAGAAAAAAAAATGTCTACCATACATGTATCCAAAAATGTGGGGAAAATACTTATTCCAGAGATGGAGGGAGTCCTGATGCTGTGGTCAAGTGACAAAAGAAAATTGACAAATAAGGACCTCTGTTCCCTAGTTTTACCAAGCCTTATCACTAATCCACCCATTTCAGCTTTCTAGGTTTCTATGGAGTTAAGACACCACCATGAATGACTGCGTTTAGTGCCTCTGGGTCTGGAGGAAGCCAGGCAGAACTCTATTCTCCACTCTATTAATACCCTGAAATTCAGAGCTCCATAAGGACAGCTGTCTGAATCCAGAGTCTCTCCTCCTCTTCTTGGGGCATGAGGATTAGTGTCTACAGGGCCCAAAGCCTGGGGATGACAGTAATGATGGACTTGGAGGGACACAGGCAATCAGTGATGAAAAAGTTCAGACTTGAAGAAGACAAAGGGACTGGGAGAAGGAGAGAAGGGGAGGTGGAAGGCTAATACTTTATCATGATTAAGGAGACCTTACCCCCATCACTAATCCCTGGGTAGGGTATGAAAATAGGGAGAAGAGAGAGTAAGAATTCAAACCTCAGCAATTGAGCAAAGGGTCACAGAGCTATATTAGTCAACAAGCAGCTTCTATGTAATTGACCCTGAAAAGATAAAACCAGGGAAGATTCCACCCTCTCCCCTATGGCCGAAGCACCTAGCAGGCAATGGACTATAGGCTTTTCTTCCACACCATTCCCTGTTTCTACACATCTTACTTCCATACCCCACTCAAGGTGGCCTAGCTCCCAGGGAAGGGACTTTGCTCGTGGCAGGGACAGCCCCCAGCCAGACGGTATTGCACATTCTCTGTTCCTTTTAATCTCAACTGACAAAATTGGGCACCTTGTACCTCTGAGCACCTCTGAGCTGGGGGTCAGGGAGACAACAGAAATGGCACTTCATCATGGAGTGGGGAGAGGCTAGACAGACACGCCACAAGGCTAGATGACCTGTAGAAAAAAATATTTAAAAAAAAAAAAAAGCTTCCAATTTTGTGGAAGAGAGAAAAGCAAAACCAGTGCTTTCGAAGCACAGAGGGCAAAGAAAAGATGTAAGAATATATCTTTATATATTTATATATATATATAATTTTAAAATAACCCTAGACCCAGTTCCATTACCCCCCTCCCTCTCCCACCACTTACCGTCAGCGGTACCACATTCCCCAGAAAAATACTGGAAATGACCTGATGATACTACTTTTTACTAGCATCTAGCTTCCAGATCATTTCACCACGTGGGGAGCCCAGACACTGGCTGCATCTCTGCTCCTTATTAAGTGCTCAATGAATTTGGGAGGAGGAAAGAAAAAAAAGCCAGGAAGGCCCGTAGGGCCAGTATAATCACCCACAGTGCACTGGGGTGTGGGGAATAAAGGCCAAAGTGGGGGAATTGAGCCTGATTTCAGCTCCTTCTCCCACTCCACCCTAAATCTTATGAGGAAGATGTGCAGTTTGTGTGTGTAATTTTAAAAGTGCCTTCTTACTTAAAAAATTAATTTTTAATAATAAAAATGAGGGGACTTCCTCAGGTGACAAAATATTACACAACTCCATATACCTCTGTGTGAAGAGTTTCCCAGTGCATCCGGGCAGCGTCTAGAGCATGTACATCACAAGGAGAGAACCCTGCTTTTCAGGGGCTTCTCTTACCTCAAAAGCAGCCCTGGTCCCCTCCCTCTTACCCAACCAAGTGGACAAATGGGATGCTAATCTCTCTAATCCCCAGTTCTGCAACATTGCACAATTCAATTCATTCTCTACATTAGTAGCGCTGAAGAATAAAACAAGATAAAAAAGCAAAATTAAAAAATTCTGGGGGCATGGAGAAGACAACACCTGGATAGCAGAGGTCCAAAGCTGGTTTGACATGAGCTGGTTGGCTTTGAGCAACTGGTTCTGCAGTCAGTGCAGCAGGGTCAGGGCAGGACTCCAACCTGGTTAGAGGCCCTCAACCATCTCGGCACTCAGAGGGCAAAGGGAGAGACAAATGTGAGAATCTCAAGTGTTGGGGGAGATATCTCATTCTCCTGTTTTCTCCTTTCTTTTCTGTCATCTGACTCATGCCCATTCCAACTTATAGGAATCCAGCCAACTTCAGCTTGGGAACAATTGTTCCTCTCTATTATAGATGGGGCTGGGGGAGGGAGGGGAAGATTATGGTTTTCAACAAGGGGATGCAAATGGGGTAGGAAACAATTTTACAGAGAAAACAATTTTGGACTAGTTGGCCTGGAATACTTTCATGCTCCCACTGGAGACCAATTTTAATCCCCCAGCTCCAGAAGGCCAGGCCCTGCTCTGTCCTCCTTGGCTTACCATTATGTTACATTATCATACCTCCCTGCCCCCTCATATGGATAAACTCCAGAGTATTTTAAAGCTTTGCTCTCTAGGCTTTTCCCCTCTCATCCTTAGAGCCTGACTTTAATATTAAACACTGCCTCCCCAACAGTCCAGCCCCCAAACACCCACAACTGGGTATTATTCCTCCTGCTTGATGTCATTCACCCCACAACTCAGGTTAAGTGCATTCAAAACCTCTGCCTCTAACTCTCAATCATGTCCTACTTGGCAGTGGAGGACCCTACTGCAACCTGCAATGCTCCTATCACTGAACTGAATGTCATTTATGTTTACAAAAAAAAAAAATCAGGAAGGAAGGGAAGAAGGAGGGGAGAGATTATGAAGAGAGGAAGGGACAAAAAGAAAACAGAAAAAAGTTGTGTGTGGGGGGAGATATAACCGTCCACTGAACAAAGGGAGGACACACAATATAATTAAAAATGGTAATAATTATAGCATAAAACAAACTTTAGAAACACATGACAGAGGGCTTAAATTCTCCCCAGGACCTCATTCTGACCTCTATCAGAGGCAAAGATCCACCTCATTGTTAAAGAATTGAAGAGAGAAGATTGAGTGGCAGGATAACAGATCGCAGCAGTATGAAACAAAGGGGAGGTGGTGGGGCAGGGCGTGTATTTTCTTGTTGATTTCTATTTTTTGTCTTCTGTTTTTTCAGTTTTGCTTTCCGTGTATGGTAGGCACCAGTACAGGCACTGCATGCGACGGAAGTTGGGAGCAACAGGAGAGGAAAGGGGTAAAGGGTTCAAGGTTAGGCAGTACAAGTGGAACAGGCGTTATTTCTGTCCACTAATGGACTGCGATATAGACCGGGGAGGGATCATGTCTAAAAGGTATTCCCGCTGTCGGTCTGCCAAACTGGGAGCTTTGTGTCCTCCGATGCCAGTGTTCAAGTATGCAATGTTGACACCTAGACCCAGGAGACAAAAGCGGAGGGCAGGAATTAAGAGAATGATATTGCCTTCTGTAAGAATGGAGATGGATAGGAAATATTAGAAATTGCCCATACCTAACCAGATTTTGCTAGGTTTTTTTTCACTATGAAATACCCTCATAAACTTTAAGGAAAGAGGGCTGGGAAGGTGGCTTAGTGGTAGAGCGCTTGCCTTGCATGCCTGAGGCCCTGGGTTCGATTCTTTAGCACCACATAAGCAAAAAAGAAAAAAGCCGGAAGTGGCGCTGTGGCTCAAGTGGTAGAGCGCTAGCCTTGAGCTGAAGAGCTGAGGGACAGCGCCCAGGCCCAGGGCAGGCCCCACGACCGGACCCAAAAAAAAACACAAAAAAACACAAAACTTTAAGGAAAGAGTTTCCTGAAATTTTAATATGATCGGGAAGAATGAACACAGTCCTGATGGTATAGGAGAGACTGGCTGAATGGTGCTAAGAGAACAATGATAAAGACAAAAAAATGCCAGGCACCGGTGGCTCACGCCTGTAATTCTAGCTACTCAGAAGGCTGAAATCTGAGGATCGCGGTTCAAAGCTAGCCTGGGCAGGAAAGTCCATGAAACTCTTATCTCCAATAAACCACCAGACAACTGGAAGTGGTGCTATTGCTCAAATGGTAGAGCGCTTGCCTTGAGCTGAAGAGCTGAGGGACAGTGCTCAGGCCCAGAGTTCAAGCTCCACGACCAACAACAACAACAAAAAAAGTGCTGGGCACCCGTGGCTCATGCTTGTAATCCTAGCTACTCAGGAGGTTGAGATCTGAGGATGGTGGTTCAAAGGCAGCCCTGGCAGAAAAGTCTGTGAGACTCTTATCTCCTATTAACTACGAGAAAACTGGAAGTGATGCTAGGGCTCACGTGGTAAAGCACTGGTCTTGAACTGAAGAACTTAGGAACAGAGCCTAGGCCCAGAGTTCAAGCCCCATGACTGACAGAAAAAAAAAAAAAAAAAGACAAAAAGAATCAGTCTTTAACCTATTTTCCTGCATGGGGAGCACAAAATGTTCTTTCTCATTTTTATTTTAAATTCTTGTTAAAAATGAACAGAATCAATGAATTTTCTAATTTAGGGGCCACTCATGGTTGGAGAAGCATTGCTGGATTCAAATCAGCAATTGACTTGGCTGTCTGAGCTTAAAGGGATCAATATCCACATGCCCTATGAAGGCATTAGACAGTAAATTTATAATTTAATTGTAGGGACAGTGTCATCATCACTAGAAAGAGCTTACTGCACTGTGGGTGGTATATAATATGATTTAGCTATCATTTGCTGAAAAAGAACAGAGTAAGGAAATAACGCTCTATGGAAAGAACAAAAAAACAAAAGAAAGGAACAATTCACCTGAAGGAGTTGCTAAAGAACTGTGCACTAACTGGGTACTGATGACAAATAATTCCAGCTATTCAGAAGGCTCAGATATGGAGGATCACTGTTCAGAGCTATCTCAAGGCAGGAATCTGGGAGATTCATTCCATCCCCAAAATACTGGCAAAATGCTGGGTTGAAGACATGGCTCAAAAAGCAAGCTGAGCAAGAGCAAAGCCCCGAGTTTAAAAAAAAAGAACTGCACTCTAGTTGGGTTGGGTGGGATAGTACAAATCTAAAAAAATCCAGCTATGTAGGAGGTGGGTGATTCCAAGTACATGGGTGACAACAGGTAATATCTGCCAAATAAGCATGATGTTCTCAGTTCAAACCCGAGTACTGCCAGGCACTGGTGGTTCCCATCTGTAATCCTAGCTACTCGGGAGGCTGAGATCTGAGGATCACAGTTCAAAGCCAGCCTGGGTAGAAAAGCCTGAGATTCTCATCTCCAATTAAACACTAAAAAAGCCAGAAGTGGAGCTGGGGCTGAAGTGGTGGAGCACTAGGCTTGAGCACAAAACCTGAAGGACAGCACCTTGGCCCTGAGCAAGCCCTAAGATAGGCAACAACAACAACAAAAAAACCACTCACAAACAAAAATAGTACCACTTGAAACAAAGAGAGAGAGACAGAGAGAGAGAAAGAGAGAGAGAAAGAGAATTGTGCACTAACCAGTTGACTGCTGAGAAAAGTTTTCAGCAGAAATACCTCTTACCTGGCATACCAAGGAGGCCACCTGGCACAGACAACTGGGGTGCCTGTGCAAAGTTTGAAAGCATGGAGCGGGCAGATGTGGGTATACCACGCTGGAGGCTGCTCTGGGGCTGTGGGGCCTGTAATAATAAACAGACATTTAATACAACTTTACCATGGTAAGAAGTTAAGAAAGATAGATGCTGTTGGCTTGTGCCTATAATCCTGGCTACTCAGGATGCCGAAATCTGAAGATTGCAGTTCAGACCCAGCCCGGGCAGGAAGTCTCTAAGACTCATCTCTAATTATCTACAAGAAAACCAGAAGTGGCACTGTGGCTCAAAGTGGTAGAGCAACTTGAACAAAAGATCAGGGACAGTACCTTCAGTGCAAGCCCCATGACCAACCAAAAAAAAAAGAGGAAAAGATGCAGGAGTAGAGTGGTATGACTTCCCATAGAAGGATAAATTAGAAAAAATGGTTGATAAATGCTCAAGAGAAAGCAGGATAGGGTCAGGGAAAAGTTCCTCACCTGCCGAAGTGTATGGTGTCTCATGATGGTCTCTTGTTTACTGACACTGGACACAGTTGGAGCCGTAGTAGGAGAGAGGGCTGCCTGCTGCTGTAATCGCTGTTCAATTTCCTGTTAGGAATCATCAGCTCAGGTTGGGCAGACCACCACTCAATTTCAAAACTAGAATATTTATGTATCTTATCTCTAATAATACCAGCTAGTTAGAGAAGTATGAAAAAGGCAAGAGTCTGGTGGGGTAGCTACACTGAGATCTCTGGGTATAAGCAGCCAACATGCTACCCTGAAGAGATTCCCCTTTTTCTACAGAAAAGGCTCTAAGAAGATGGTTGGAGCTGGGTGATAGTGGCTCATGCCTGTAATCCTAGCTACTCAGGAGGCTGAGATCTGGATGCTATGCAGGAAAGTCCATAGGACTCATCTCCAATTAACCACCAAAAAAAGCTGGAAATGGAGCTGTGGCTCAAGTGGCAGAACCCTGAGCAAAAAAAACCCCAACAAAACCATTAGGTACAGTGCTTAGGCCCTGAGTTCAAGCTTCAGTACCAGCACCAAAAAAAAAAAAAAAAAGATGGTTGAAACCTGGGTGTTGGGGATCATGTCAGTAATCTTTGCTACTCTGAAATCTGAGGATCTCAAGATCTTGGCTCAAAGCTAGCCCAGGTAGACAAAACCAAGACTCTTACCTTTAGCAAAAAGCCAGAACTGGAGGTATGGCTCTTTTTTCTTTTTGTAAACTATTCAAGTAGTAAAGTGTCAGCACTGAGTAACACAGCTAATCAAGAGTTTGAGACCCTGAATTCAAGCCTCAGAAGCGGAGTTGCACACACGCACACACACCCACAAGCTATTTGGATAAAGCTGGATGGTAATGATGAGCTAGTGTAATTAAGCCTGATGAATTATTGGTGATTTTACTGTTGACTCCTATCTACTTTCCAGAAAGTCCATGATAATACCCAAAGGATTCTCACAGTTGGTGGAGGAAAAATGGATAGAGAAAAGGACTGGAGGCTAGGTGTAGTGATGTAAAATTCCAGCTATACAGGAGGCAGAGAAAGGAAGATTGCTAGATCAAGGCAAAGTAAGCAAGACCCTATCTCAAAAACAAAATGGACAAACAAAAGGCTGAGGATATAGCTCAAGTGGTAGAGCACTTGCCTGGTATTCACAAGGACACTAAATTCAATTCCTAGTTCTGCAAAAGAGGATCTGAAGTTCCTAATGTTTATTTTCCTATTTGTCATCCTTGTCAAGAGTGACTTTCAGATAATCTTTTTCTTGCAAAGAGATTTCTAGTACAAATATAAACACCTCTCATCCAAATCCATTTGTTTATCCAAACACCAGTGTATATATCTATACTTCGAGCTACTTAGGTGGGAGAGCTGAGGATTGAGGTTCAAAGCCAGCCTATGAAGACAATTCTAGGAGACTCATCTCCAATTAACTAGCAAAAATCTTGAAGTGTACATGTGGCTGTGAGCAAAAAAGCTTAGTAAGCCCTCAGGGGCAGGAGTTCAAGCCCAGACCCATCCTCCCCCAAAAAAATTCCATTTGAGGACATAAAATTGACAGAGGAATTTCTTTTATTTTTGGCAGTCGATGGGCTAGATTGTAGTTTTACCACTTGTTTTTTTGCCAGTCCTGGGGACTGAACTTAGGGCCTTAGGCACTGTCCCTGAGCTTCTTTCTTTTGCTCAAGGCTAGCACTCTGCCACTTGAGCCACAGTGCCTCTTCTGGCTTTTTCTGTTTATGTGGTGCTGAAGAATTAAACCCAGGGCTTCATGAATGTTAGGCAAGCACTCTGTCACTAAGCCCATAGTTTTACCACTGGTGACATGCCTCTAAGCCCTGTTTCTTGTTGGCTGTTTTGGAGATGGAGTCTAGCAAACTTTTCTGCCTGGGCTGGCACTGAACTATATCCTCTAGATCGCTTTTATTTTTATTTATTTATTTTTTTTGTTGGTCCTGGGGCTTGGACTCTGGGCCTCTATAGAGTTTCAGAGTTGGGCGCCAGTGGCTCATGCCTGTAATCCTAGCTCAACCTCAGGAGGTTGAGATCTGAGGGTTCCAGTTCAAAGCCAGCCAGGGCACAAAAGTCTGTGAGACTATCTCCAATAAACCACCAGAAAACTGGAAGAGGTGCTGTGGCTCAGTGGTAAAGTGTTTGCCTTGAGCCTAGGCCCAGGGTTCCACAACTGACAAAAAAAAAAAAAGTTTCACAGACTTTCCTGCTCGGGCTGGCTTTGAACTGTGAGCCTCAGATCTCAGCCTCCTGAGTAGCTAGGAGTACAGGCATGAGCCATCACTGCCCAGCTTCTCTAGTTTTTTTGTTTTTGTTTTTTTGCTCTGTTGTTGTGGGGCTTGAACTCTGGGCCTTGGCGCTGTCCCTGAGCTCTTCAGCTCAAGGCAAGTGCTCTATCACTTGAGCTATAGCACCACTTCTGGCTTTCTAGTGGTTTACTGGAAGTAAGAGTCTTATGGACTTCCCTGCCTCAGCTGGCTTTGAACCATGATCCTCAGATCTCAGCCTCCTAAGTAGCTAGGATTACAGGTGTGAGCCACCGGTGTCCAGCTTCCTCTAGATCTATTTATGTGGTACTGAGGAATAGAACCTAATCAGAACTTAATCAGAAAGTCAAATGAAAATGGAAAAGACAGGACGATGAGGGAAAAAACGGTTGCATGTCCAGAGGTCTTTGGGAATTGTAAGAAGCATTCTAAACTAGAAGCAACAACCTTTTGGAGAAACCAAGCCTATAGAAGCTGTTGAGAAGTCAAAATTCTTACCTGTTCCTGCTGTAGGGCTTTAACAAAAGCATTTTTCAGCCGGTTGGTGTGTTCAGCTTTTAGAGCTTTCTTCTGGTTGGATGTCATACACTGCTCACACAGAATCTTACCATTCTTTTCTTGCTTCCAGTGAGGGGTGAAATCTGTGCGGCACTGGGCACATACAAAGGGTTCAACCCGCAGAAGCGAGGCACAGCTTTTGCCTAAATGCCAATAAAAATAGTAATCATTTGTTTCACATTTCCTACTCTCTTCACCAAGTAAATTTATTCTGCTGAATTAAGACACTCTATGATAAAGGAATACAATTTATAAAATATTTTTATTAGGGAATTCAGATAGTAGTAGAAAAGTTTTTTTTTCTTGTCTAGGCTGACTGTGAACTGTGATCTTCAGATCTCATTCTCCTGAGTAGCTAGGGCTATAGGTGTGAGCCATTGGAACCTAGCTTAAAGCTAAGCTTGCCTTGAGCTCCTAATCCTCCTGCCTCAGCTTGTGAAGTAGCTGGAATGACAAGCATGTACAACCTGTACAACCGTGTCCAGTGTGAAACAAAGATCTTTTACTGATTACCTGGGGACAAGAATCTATGGCTTCAGATTTCCTACTATATTATATTATTAAGAAGAAAATATTGCCGGGTGCCAGTGGCTCATACCTATAATCCTAGCTACTCAGGAGGCTGAGATCTGAGGACTGTGGTTCAAAGCCAGCCTGGGCAGGAAAGTCCATGAAACTTTTTTTTTTTTTTTTGGGTTGGTCGTGGGGCCTGAACTCTGGGCCTGGGTGTTGTCCTTCAGCTCTTCAGCTCAAGGCTAACACTCTACCTACCACTTGAGCCACAGCACCACTTCTGGCTTTTTCTGTTTATGTGGTGCTGAGGAATTGAATCCAAGGACTTTTACCACTGAGCTACCTTCCTAGCCCCTCTATGAATCTCTTATCTCCAATAAACCACCATGAAACTGGAAGTGGCACTGTGGCTCAAGTGGTAGAGTGCTCGCCTTGAGCTGAGGGAGAAGAAGGAGGGGAGGAGAAGGAGGAGGAGGAGGAGGAGGAGGAGGGGAGGGGGGGGGGAGGAGGAGGAGGAGGAGGAGGAGGAGGAAGAGGAGGAGGAGGAGGAGGAGGAGGAGGAGGAGGAGGAGGAATTGTCAATTCAGAATCAAACCAGTAATTTTTGTCAGTCATGGGACTTGAACTCTGGGCTTGGGTGCTGTCCCTCTGCTCTTCAGTGCCACTTCAAGCTTTTTCTGTTTTGTGGTGCTGAGGAATTGAACCCAGGGCCTCATGTATTGTAAGGCAAGCACTGAGCCACCTTCCCAGCCCCCAAACCAATAATTGTGGTTCTTAGAATCTCCTTACTTCACACTGCACTTATTTCTGTTAAATACATTTAACAATTTAGTTATCAGTGTCTGAATTGTCATTTTATGATTTTTTTTGTCAGTTGTGTGGCTTGAGCTCTGAGTCTGGGGGCTGTCCCTCAGCTCTTCAGCTCAAGGCTAGCACTCTACCACATGAGCCACAGCACCACTTCTGGTTTTCTAGTGGTCTTCCCCCCACCCCACCCCCTTCCAATCATGGAATTTGAACTCAGGGCCTGGATGTTGTCCTTAAATTCTTTTGCTTAAGGCTGGCACTCTACTACTTTGAGTCACAGCACCACTTCCAGTTTTCTAGTAGTTAATTGTAGTTAAGAGTCGTCTCCTAGACTTTCCTGACCAGGCTAGCTTTGAACCACAATCCTCAAATCTCAGCCTCCTGAGTAGCTAGGATTACAGTTGTGGGCCACTAGTCCCAGGCCATCTTCCTTTTCCATTATTAAGTATTTGTTTTTGGCTGGTCATGGGGCTTGAACTCTGGGCCTAGGCACTGTCCCTGTACTCTTCAGCTCAAGGCTAGTGGCTCTACCGCTAAAGCCACAGTGCCACGTCCGGTTTTCTAATGGTTTATTGGAGATATGAGTCTCACCGACTTTTTGTGCCGGAGCTGGTTTTGAACCATGATCCTCAGATCTCGGCCTCCTCAGTAGCTTGGATTATAGGTGTGAGCCACCGGTGCTTGGCTCATCTTTTGCCAGTTCTGGGACTTGAACTCAGGGCCTGGGCACTGTCCCTCTTCAGCTCAATGCGAGCACTCTACCACTTGAGCTACAGAGCCACTTCTGGCTTTTTCTGTTAATGTGGTGCTGAGGAATCAAACCCAAGGCCTCATGAATGCAAGGCAAGCATCCTACCACCGAGCCATCCTCCCAGCCCCTTATCTTTCTTTTTTAATATGGTGTTGTAGATAGGATCCAGGGTGGTATGCATACTGAGCGAGTGTTTTTTTCTTTTGTGTGTGTGTCAGTCCTAGGGCTCAAACTCAAGATCTGGGTGCTATCCCTAAGCTTTTTGCTCAAGGTTAGCACTCTACCAACCTGAGCCACAGATCCACTTCTGGCAGTTAACTGGACGTAAGAGTCTTGTGAACTTTCTTGTCTAGGCTGACTGTGAACTGTGATCTTCAGATCTCATACTCCTGAGTAGCTAGGGTTATAGGTGTGAGCCACTGGAACCTAGCTTAAAGCAAGTGTTCTTAAGACTGGGTTATACCATTCCACATTTAAAAGAATATATTGAGAAAATGTACAACACACACACAGAACTATTTCTGTTTTTGTTTTCCGGTTGTGGGACTTGAACTCTGGGCCTGGGTGCTGTCCCTCAGTTCTTCAGCTCAAGGCTAGCGCTCTACCACTTGAGCCACAGCGCCACTTCCAGATTTTTCTTTTTGCTTATGTGGTGCTGAGGAATCGAACCCAGGGCCTCAGGCATGCAAGGCAAGCGCTCTACCACTGAGCCACCTTCCCAGCCCCACACAAAACTATTTCTATAGGATGTTGCCAAACCACTTGTATACAAGTAAAGAGAGGTAGGTAGGTCATTAACAATAATAAGGAGCTATCATTTATCATCTCAAAGTTTCCTGTGATACTCTGCACAGACCAACGAGACTTGGCAACTTCTTGCTCAAGAAGAATAAAGTCTTACCTTGGCTATCAATGACACTCTGTACGACTTCTTCCAAGCCTACCATATAGATGAACTCACTATTGGCTGCACTAGGCAGGAAGTGAAGCAAGGGAGCAGGAGGTTTTGGAGGTGGAATCTCCAGGAGTGTCTTTTCTAGCTGTTTCCGAAGAGCCAATTTGGCTGCAGCCTGTGAGTTGGCAGCATCAGTCATAGCACTAGGGCTAGGAAGTGGCGAGGACACTCTGTTCACAGTCCCTGGCTGGATATGGGAGGCAAGGTTCATATAGATGGCAGAGGATGTTGTACGCTGACAAGGAACAGAAGAACTTGACTGCTGAAAGAGATGGGAAATAGTTATCAGTGATGGCTGATATGTGGATGAGGATCAATTCTTGCTTTTTTTGGCAGAGGATACTATCTGATCCTTCTGGGGACTACTTAAGTTTCTTTCTTTCTTTTTTAATCGGTTGTGGGGCTTGAACTCTGGGCCTGAGCACTGTCCCTCAGTTCTTCAGCTCAAGGCTAGTGCTCTACCACTTGAGCTACAGCGCCACTTCCGGTTTTGCGGTGGTTTATTGGAGTAAGAGTTTCACAGACTTTCCTGTGGGGGCTGGCTTTGAGCTGCAATCCTCAGATCTCAGCCTCCTGAGTAGTTTAGGATTATAGGTATGAGCCAGCAGTTCCTGGCTATACTTTAGTATTTATTTATTTATTTATTATTTGGTCAGTCATGGGGCTTGAACTCTGGGCTTGGGCGCTGTCCCTGCACTCTTCAGCTCAAGGTGAGCACTCTGCTGCTTGAGCCACAGCACTACTTCTGATTTTCTAGTGTTTTGTTTTTTTTTTAATTGAATATAAGAGTCTCACGGACTTTCCTGCCCAGGCTGGCTTTGAACCTCGATCCTCAGATCTCAGCCTCCTGAATAGCTAGGATTACAGGCGTGAGCCACCGGCGCCCGGCTACTTTAGTTTCTTTATAGTAAGAATCCAACTTATTAATCGAAAGGGAACTAACTAAGAAAAAAGAATGACAACATCCATGAGCCAGACCTGCTAAGAGGGGAAAAAAAAAAAGACTGGGGATGCTTTCTGTCATATATTTTTATGCTTATTACTGATATGCCTCTCTTCCATTTCAGGCAGATTTTAGCTTACTGCCGCTCTGCTGTATAGCCTACCTCTCTTCTCCACCACCATTTTCATATAATTCCTCAAACCTTTGGGAATGCTCTTTATTCAAAATTCCATCCAAATCACCCCCATTGTCCTAAGTTTCTGTATATACAAAGACTTAAGACCTTTTAGCCTTTTTTCAATAAGAAAAGCAAAGAAAGGATTTCTCTGCTTCACATTATGGGTCTCTCTTACTGGTTGATAACTGATGGCGGGATTCATGTTGGGTGTTGTGGTGCGTACAATGCCAGGCTTGGGTGGGCCCCGTTGGCCCTGTAGTTGGGCTGGATTTGGTGCAATAACACGTTGGGACATCAACATGTGTGGGAGGGTTGTATTGGTCGCTGAACGGATGACACTGTGACCCTGAAGGGGAAGATAAGGAAAAGAACGTTACAGGTGGTATAATGCCCAGTAAAATGTAAAAGACAAAAATACTGTCAGTAATATACAGTTGAACAGATGCATAAGAACAGTCAAACTTGTCTGATGGTCTATGGGTAAGCCTACCATAATTGTAAATGCTGATTAGTGACTAGGGAGTCCTGGCCTTTTGGTATAAACTATCTAATCTTACACAGTTAAGATAGAAAATTAAGCTGGTAGCTCATACTTGTAATCCTAGCTACTTAGGAGGCTGAGATCTGAGGATCACAGTTCAAAGCCCAGCCCGGGCAGGAAAGTCCATGAGACTCTTTTTTTTGGCCGGTCATGGGGCTAGAACTCTAGGCTTGGGCACTGTCCCTGCACTCTTCAGCTCAAGGCGAGCGCTCTACCGCTTGAGCCACAGCACCACTTCCAGTTTTCTAGTGGGTTATTGGAGATAATAGTCTCAGGGACTTTCCTGCCCGGGCTGGCTTTGAAGCTCAATCCTCCTGAGTAGCTAGGATTACAGGTGTGAGCCACCGGTGCCTGGCTCCATGAGACTCTTATCTCCAATAAACCACCAAAAAACCAAAAGTGGCTCTGTAGCTCAAGAGGTAGACTGATAGTCTTGAGCTGAAGAGCCCACGGACAGCACCTAGGCCTAAAGTTCAAGCCTCACCACTGGAAAAAAAAAAAGAGAGAGAGAAAATTATCTAATCCTTCTCTAGAGAAGCTAGAGACCTGTTGTAGAGAAGGAAAACTATAAAGATAATTATTTGTTGCAGACTAACCCACGCTTTTTCATCAAGTACCAAGAGAACTATTTGGAGTAACAGGACTATTTGGAGTAATAGCAACAACTTCTATAATCTCCACAGAAGTCCCTAGAGACATGATAGCTATGATCCCATTATCAATCACATACCTGTAATGTTCTCAAATTTTGAGCTTCAACCCCTTGGGCCCCAGGCCGGGAGGGAAGTTTGGATAAACCTTGCTGTCCCACATGGGCAGGAGATGGTTGTACAATAGACGCTGCATTCTGTACAACTGGAGTCTGGAAGACAGAAAAGGAGAAAAAGGCAATAAATTACAGGTAGACTCTGTACATTTCTAGAACTTGAATTTTCTTGTTAGCATGAAGCTCTTGTTGTTGACTAGTAGGAAAAAAATAGAATTAAGTTTTTCTTTTTCTTTTTTTTTGGGTCCGGTCGTGGGGCCTGAACTCTGGACCTGGGCGCTGTCCCTCAGCTCTTCAGCTCAAGGCTAGCGCTCTACCACTTAAGCCCAGCACCACTTCCGGCTTTTTTCTTTTTGCTTATGTGGTGCTGAGGAATCGAACCCAGGGCCTCATGCATGCAAGGCAAGCACTCTACCACTGAGCCACCTTCCCAGCCCTAAGTTTTTCTTAATAGTGCCCAAAGTAAAAAAAAAAAAAGTTGGGCATGATGGTGTACGTCTAGGAATGCTCTTTATTGAAACTCCAACCATATCACCCTCATTGTCCTAGTTATTGTATGTACAAAGATTTAAAACCTATGGCAATCCCATGTATTAAGGAGTGGAAGCTGGAGTCCAACTTTGAGGACTGGTTAAAGGTAGCTGAAAAGTTCTTTCTCAAAAACAAAATAAAAACAAGAAGGGCTGAGGGTATAGCTCAAGTGATACTGGGCTTGCTTAGATAACACATACAAATCCCTGGAATCAATCTCCCAATAGCACAATGGGGAAAAAAAAATCCACTATTCCTAATGATTAAAACCTATGGAACTAGAGACGAATGAACCACAGAGCTAACTATCACGCTGAAACCAATTCTTCTTTTATTTTCTCTTGTCCTTTATGTTCCAGGCACATTACCTTTTGGACCACATTCTCTTTCTGTAGTTGACTCTGTCTCAGTTTCTTTAAAAGCACCAATCGAGCTTCTTCCAGTCGCAGTTCGTCCCTCAGCTGCTTGATGAGCTGTTGCCGTTCCTCAATGCCTTTCCCCTAAGGAAACATGGAGATTATTAGCTATAGCATCAGTTACCCAGAATCCCTGCATGCAAGAGATAATGTATTTCTTTCTTTCTTTCCTTTTGTTTTTGCCAGTCCTGGGGCTTGAACTCAGGGCCAGGGCACTGTCCCTGAGCTTCTTTTGCTCAGCTCAAGGCTAGCGCTGTACCACTTGAGCCACAGCACCAATAAGCTGAGATGATGTGTTTCTTAGGTCTGAAAAACCTTCATCTTCTATAAGAAGTGATGATGAAACTGTCGTCTTTGTATCCCTAGGGTGCCACACAGTCCCTAGCATTCAGTAGGTACTCAAAAAAAGTGCTTATAGAAGCAGAAACCACATATAACCAATAATGGGTTAGACTCCTGGCAAAATAGAAGAATTTTAAAATGTTTTAAGTTTTTTAAAGCCACATTTTCTTTTTCTTTCTTTCTTTTTTGCCAGTTCTGGGGCTCGAACTCAGAGCTGAGTGCTGTCCCTTAGCTTCTTTTGCTCAAGGATAACACTCTACCACTTGAGCCACAGTGCCACTTCCCATTTTATCTATTTATGTGGTACTGAGGAATCGAACCCAGGGCTTCATGCATGCTAGGCAAGCACTCTGCCACTAAGCCACATTCTTAGCCCAAAGCCACATTTTCTGTTTATATACAATATACACAAATGGAATTGTGAAGTTTTATGTTTTCCAAAAATAAACTGAATATAACTGCTTATATACATGCTTTTTACTCCTTCCCTCCATACCTTCCCATCTCTTTTTGTAATACTGGGGATTTGAACTCAAGGCCTTGTGCTTGCTAGACTGGCTCACTCTACCACATGAGCTATACCTCCAGCTTTATACATACTTCTTCAAACTATCTTCTTTGCATCTACTAATTCCTTTTTTTTTTTTTTTTGTCGATCATGGGCCCTGGGCACTGTCCCTGAGCTCTTCAGCTCAAGGCTAGCATTCTACCACTTGAGCCACAGAGCCACTTCCAGCTTTTTCTGCTTATGTGGTGCTGAGGAATCGAACCCAGGGCCTCATGCATGCAAGGTAAGCAACTCTACCACTGACACACCTTCCCAGCCCCTACTAGTTCCTTTTATAATGTCTTCTCCTTGAAGTTCAGAATCACCAAAAAATTTTCACCAATAGCTGAGTAAAGAACAAAACAAAAAACAGAACTAGGACTCTTACAGAATAAAGAGAACAGGGATATGAAAGAAAAAAAATCTTTTTACCTTAAACATCTCTAGGTTGGCTGCTTTGAGTCTTTCTTCCATTCGGGAGCTGGAACGGGGACTGGAAGCCTCATTGTCAGACAAAACAATGATGTCTGGAGAAGGAGTTAGCCTTCCTCGGTCTGGCTCACTAGATAAGAAAATGAAAAATTATAGTATTTCCAATGGTGAGAGTTGATTAAAAAGTTAAATTTCTCTTCTACGCTGAAGAAATAAATCCAAGGAAACTTAAGAGGTCCTAATTCACTCGGAAAAGACAGTAAACACATAGGATAAAGAAAACCAGAACTAAGAGAAATCAAAATCTCAGCAAAATATTTTCCTTATCTCAAAACAAAGATACAAAGTAATAACTAGCTTCAAGAATGAGAGATGAAGCCAAGTGCTGAGACCTGAGGATCACAGTTCAAAGCCAGTCCAAGTAGGAAAGTCCCTGAGACTCTTATCTCCAACAAACCACCAGAAAACCAGAAGTAGAGCTATGGTTCAAGTGGTAGAGCACTAACCTTGAGGTGGAGAGTTGAGGGACAGAGTTCAGGCCCAGAGTTCAAGGCCTATGACCACCACCACCACCACCACCACCACCACCAACAACAACAACAAAGGAATAAGAGATGAAAGCCAGGAGCTGGTGGCTGATAATCCTAGCTACTCAGGAAGCTAAGATCTGAAGATCATGGTTCAAAGCCAACTCAGGCAGGAAAGTCTGTGAGACTCTTAGCTCCAATTAACTGCCAGAAAACCAGAAGTTGGTGCTGTGACTCAAAGGGCTCAGGGACAGTGCCTAGGCCCAGAGTTCAAGCTCTACAACCAACCAAAAAATAGGGGGGAGGGGAGGGAATGAGGGAAAGAGAGAGAGAAAGAGAGAGAGAGAGAGAGAGAGTGAGCGCGTGCCAAGGCACTGGCGGCTCATGCCTGTGATCCTAGCCACTCAAGAAGCTGAAGTCTGGGGACCTGTGGTTCGAAGCTAGCCAGGGCAGGAAAGCCTATGATAGTCTCATCTCCAATTAAGCACCAAAAAAGCTTGAGGTGGAACTGTGGCTCAAGTGGTAGGGTGCTAGCCTTGAGTTGAAGAGCTGAGGGACAGCGCCTAGGCCCAGGGTTCAAGCCCCATGACCGACAAAAAAGAAAAAGAAAAAGAAAAAGATTTAATTCTAAATGTTTCTTGTTACTCCATTAGGCTGTTGGAAGCTTGGAAAAGAAATGATTAACTCCACTGGTAAAGACAATAGAACCTAGCATCCACTGAGTATAAATGATAGTTGTAAAGGAGGAAGCTCATTTTAACAAAAATCATATATATGGTCCTGGTTGAGGATTAACAAGAAAAGGAGGTTAAGTCACAACTCCACTGATGGTCCATTCTTGCAAGAGCAGGTACTGAAGTAGGCAGAAGAAATACTGACAGCTGCTTGAAGAAATGGAAAATGCCCAGGACACACACACACACACACACACACACACACACACACACACACACACACACACACACACACACACACACACACACACACACACACACACACACACACACTCTCTCTCTCTCTCTCTCTCTCTCTCTCTCTCTCTCTCTCTCTCTCTCTCTCTCCTTTTGGAGAGGGACTGAACTTCTAGAACTAAAAAGTCACACTGACACCTCCCCCCCCCTTTTGGAGAGGGACTGAACTTCTAGAACTAAAAAGTCACACTGACTTGCCAGTTTTATCTAGTACATTCTCTCAGTAAAACTGTCCAGAAAGAATACTTTGACATCTAATCTCTCACACTAGATCTTTTTGTTTCCAATCCTATTTATTAGACAATCTTTGTTTTGGTATTTCTGGGACTAGCCTTGTTTCTGTTAAAGTAATGAATAATGGCACTCACTGTTTGAGACCTAGATAATAAGAATCCTGCAAACTAAAATTGCTTTAGATTCCCAAGTCTAAATCTACCTCTCCTCTGATTTCAAAGATACCATTCCAGACTCTACTGTTGTTTTTTGATTTTTGTTTTTTTCAGCATTAGGGCTTAAACTTAGGGCTTCATGCTTGTTAGATCCCAACTCCAGCTCTACACTACTTTTGAGATAGAAAAGCTGAGAGTATATATGTTTAAAACAATGTGTTCTTAGATTATAATTAAATGTGTAACTTGGGGCTGGGAAGGTGGCTCAGTGGTAGAGCGGTTGCCTTGCATGCATGAGGCCCTGGGTTCAATTCCTCAGTACCACATAAGCAAAAAGAAAAAAGCCAGAGGGGCTGGGAAGGTGGCTCAGTGGTAGAGCGCTTGCCTTGCATGCTTGAGGCCCTGGGTTCGATTCCTCAGCACCACATAAGCAAAAAGAAAAAGCCGGAAGTGGCGCTGTGGCTCAAGTGGTAGAGTGCTAGCCTTGAGCTGAAGAGCTGAGAGACAGCGCCCAGGCCCAGAGTTCAGGCCCCACGACGGGACCCAAAAAAAAAAAAAAAAAAAAGCCGGAAGTGGCGCTGGGGCTCAAGAGGTAGAGCGCTAGCCTTGAAATGAAGAGCTGAGGGACAGTGCCCAGGCTCAGAGTTCAGGTCCCACCAAAAAAAAAAAAAAAAAAGTGTAATTTAACGCTCCTGGATCATTCATTAATCATGAGCGCTTATCCATCATTTCTCAGAATTTCTTGTTTCAGATGCTTTTGAGACTTGGAAGCTTTTCTAAAATTTAATTAAATTTAATTTTTTGGTGCTGGGGATCAAACCTAGGATCTCACACATGGCTGCAGGTAAGTGCTCTACCACTGAGTTACATTCAACCCCAACCTAAAGAAACTTTTTTTTGGTGCCAGTCTTGGGTCTTGAATACTGACTATAAGCTTTTTTTTTTTTTTTTTTTGGGCCAGTCGTGGGGCCTGAACTCTAGGCCTGGGCGCTGTCCCTCAGCTCTTCAGCTCAAGGCTAGCACTCTACCACTTGAGCCACAGTGCCACTTTCGGCTTTTTTCTTTTTGTTTATGTGGTGCTCAGGAATGGAACCCAGAGCCTCAGGCATGCAAGGCAAGCGCTCTACCACTGAGCTACCTTCCCAGCTCCTGTAAGCTTTTTTTTTTTTGGGTCCAGTCGTGGGGCCTGAACTCTGGGCCTGGGTGCTGCCCTCAGCTCTTCAGCTCAAGGCTAGCACGATACCACTTGAGCCATAGCACCACTTCCGGCTTTTTTTCCCCTGCTTATGTGGTGCTGAGGAATCGAACCCAGGGCCTCATGCATACAAGGCAAGCGCTCTTCCCACTGAGCCACCTTCTCAGCGCCGGCCCCCCCCCCCCATAAGCTTTTTATTTTTTTTTTTTGTCGGTCGTGGGGCTTGAACTCTGGGCCTGGGCGCTGTCCTTCAGTTCTTCAGATCAAGGCGAGCGCTCTACCACTTGAGCTACAGCACCACTTCCGGTTTTCTGGTGGTTCATTGGAGATAGGAGTCTCACTGTCTCTCCTGCCCGGGCTGGCTTTGAACCGCGATTCTCAGATCTCAGCCTCCTAAGTAGCTAGGATTACAGGCGGGAGCCACCAGCGCCCGGCTCCCCTAAGCTTTTTAAATCAAAGCTACCAGTCTACCACTTGAACCACAGTTCCAGTCTAGCTTTTTTTGGTTCTTAATTGGAGATAAGATCTTGGAGCCTGGTGCTGGTAGCTCATGCCTATAATCCTAGCTACTCAGGAGGCTGAGATCTGAGGGTCTCAGTTCAAAGCCAGCCCGGGCAGGAAAATCTGTGACTCTTATCTCAATTAACTACCAGAAAACTGGAAGTGGTGCTATGGTTCAAATGGTAGAGTGCTTGCCTTGAGATGAAGCTCTCAGGGACAGTGCCCAGGCAGAGTTCAAGACCCACAACTGACAAAGAAAAAAGGAAAAGAAAAAGAAAAAAGAAATGCATGTTTAAGTACAGTGCAGCCCAAGTACTTAAAAGTACCAGCTAAGTAAATAAGCTGAGCCAAGTTCTGAGTTCAAACCCCAGTACTGGCAAGAGGGCAGGGGAAGGGAAAGGAAAAAGTAGGAAAAAAATGAAAGATAAAGTGTCAGAGACAGAGAGACAGACACATAAGAAGCTGAGATCCAGTGGGTATGCTGGAGGCTGAGATCTAGAGAACTATAGTTCAAAGCCAGTCTGGACAGGAAAGTCTATGAGACTCATCTCCAATTAACCAACAGAAAACTGGAAGTAGTGCTGTGGCTCAAGTGGTAGAGCACTGGCTTTGAGCTGAAGAGCGCAAGGACAGTGCCCAGGCCTAGAGTTCAAGCCCCACAACCGACAAAAGAAAAACAAAACAAAAAAACACACAAAAAAAGAATCTTGCAGACTTTCCTGCCTGAGTTGGATTCAAACCAAAATCCTTGGATCTCAGCCTCTTGAGTAGCTAGGATTATAGCACCTGGCTCCAAAGAAATAAGGCATTATTCATGATGAAATATAGCTTCTTACCAAGGTAAATCTGAATTACTAAAATCAACTAAGTTTAGTTGAAATAGAATAGGGAGAGAAAGTGAAGAGAATAACTGTTGTAAACTACAGTTTGTACAGGTTTCTTTATAGCCACTGAACAGACACAGCAAGACTAGAATGTGGTGTTAACGGAAAAAGAAGTCACTAGAGGGAGAAAGAACCTTTCATACTTTAATCCAAATTCCTGGAATAATGGTCCAGTCTAACTGCCTAAATTTACTCTCTCTCTCTCTCTCAATCGGTCGTGGGGTTTGAATGTCTAGGCTTGGGCGCTATCCCTCAGCTCTTCAGCTCAAGGTGAGCGCTCTACCACTTGAGCCACAGTACCAATTCCAGTTTTCTAGTGGTTTATTGAAGATAGTATCACGGACTGCCCTGGCTGGCTTTGAACCGATATCCTCAGATCTCAGCATCCTGAGTAGCTAGGATTATAGGCATGAGCCACTGGCACCTGGTGAATTTACTTTATTTGTATGAGATTTACCAATCATTTCTACATTTATTCATCTTCTTACCCTAAGATTAATATGAGCAAATTTTACTTTTTTTTTTTGTCGGTTGTGGGGCCTGAACTCTGGGGCCTGGGTGCTGTCCCTTAGCTCTTCAGCTCAAGGCTAGTGCTCTACCACTTGAGCCACAGCGCCACTTCTGGCTTTTTCTGCTTATGTGGTGCTAAGGACTCTAACCCAG